ATCTATATATATATATATACACACATAAACGCCAAACATTCGGTAGAATTTATAGAATATTGTAAATATATATATATATATATATATATATATATATATATATAGGGTTATATATATATATATATATATAGGGTTATATATATATATATATATTGTACAATACAATATTGTATTAATTGTTGGCCTTAACCTATTTAAAGTTTGTCTTTTAAACAATTTTTCTTGCTAGAATTTTCTGTTAGTTGTTCAATTTATTAAAAGTAGAATTATCATCAAATCCATTCTGCGCTGTGTTTATGCATATATATATATATATGTGTGTGTGTGTGTTGGATTGAGACCATGTTTTATACAGTATTATATAAATCCTACCGAATTGTTGGCATTGATGTGTGTTTGTGTGTGTGTAAGAAAATAATATATATCTGTGAATGTGGTGAATGCTTGCTTGCAAGAGTGTAGATATAAACTAATGACCGCGTGCTTAAGTGTTTGCGGTTTGGTATTTATCTGCAATCTTGTACGCATGCCTAAAACTGCTTGTTCGCTTATTTTTTAGTTTTACAGAAAACATTTTCTATTTTTTATTTGCTGATTTTTTGCGTGTTCTTCAATTGTCCTTCTTATTTTGTTCTGTTTCCTTTCACATCTGTTTAAAAAACACTCAAATTTCTTTTAAATCTTGTAACTTGAAACTCAAAATAAGTTTACAATGCAATAAACATCAATGTAATTTGATTAACTAACACAAACAAAAATTGGATTGAAACAAATGTTGAAGAACATGAGATTGAAAATTAATGAATTTGCAATTCGTAAACAATTATTTTAAAAATAATTTGTCATGAAAATTTCATTAGAACCCCGCAAATGCTTTGAAAATTACAGAAAACTTAAGAAAATCGTGAAAATCTTTTAGAAATCATAGAAATTTAATGGAAACCATAAAAATTTTATGGATTTAATGGAAATTTATAGGATGTCACGGAAATTCATTAACAACCACAAAAATTTAATTGGATTCATAGAAATTTACTCTAATCATGGAAATTTAAAGAGAAATCAGAAATTTAATGGGAATCATTAAAATTTAATTGGAATCATGAAGATTTATTTGGAAATCATAGAGATTTAATGGAAATCATGGAAATTTGATGGGAATCATGGGAATTTAAAGGTAATCATGCAAATTTATAGTGAACTATGGAAATTTAATAGAAACCTTGGAAATCTGATTAGGGAAAATGTAAATTTTACGGAAACCCTTGGAGTCAGGTAAAACTATGAAAACTTAACGGGAAAGCTGGAAATCTTATAAAAACTAGGAAATCTTGTGGAACTCTTATATCTTATTTCAAGAGAACCATAGAAATCTCATAATTATATATTTTATGCTTAATTTAAAAACATACACTCGTGTATTTTGGTTTGCCTTGTTACCTACTTGTTACTTTTAGCCGTGTGGATGCAATCTTTTATTATTTTATTAATTCAAGCAGTAGTATCAGTTGTTCTACAAATTTATGTAAAGTTATTCAAACACTTTTTATTTAATTTTTTATAATTTCTAACGCTTTAAATTATTCATAGGCTAAAAGATGTTCAAAGGCGTTAGAATAAATCAAACGGAGACCAAAATTTGAATGTGCCTTAAAAATATTGTTTGCTTCCGTAGAAATCGGCACATCACGATCACATAGGCGCAAGAAAAGTTAATGTAAAATGTTTTTAACTGTGTTCATCTTATTGAAATTTTTGTTTTTATGTTTCCAGTAATATCACAAATATGGTATTAAATTCTGGAAAATGTTTTTTAACTCACAATTCACAAAAAAAATTGCAGCATAATTTTTAATGAAACTTACAGTTTGATGATGACGATATAAACATAACATGCATTGTCAACACGTATTAATGCTGCAACACCCCGGCCAATGCATAGTTATCTCATATCGCTTTCTTGCTCCAGCTGATAGTTGTGCAACAAATATTATCATCGCGAAATAGCCGATGTACACTAAAAAACGTATAAAAGCATCTGCATACGCACAAGTATTTTCATTTGTTATGTCTCGTCTATTTATATATATCCACAAAATGTACAACACATTGTACACAACATGCAGGCGTGTTTGTTTACAGTCCACAACATGATATGTTTGTGTTGAGTACGTACTAACATTAATATGTTGAGAACGGCATTCGTATGTGATAACTTAATATTTTATGTGCACTCACTTATGCGTACAAACATGCATACGATGGTTGTGTACACCATACTTACCAGACAACACCAAGTTGTAGCGCGGATGTATTGATTTAGGCTAACCTCAAAACACAAACAATACTCTGCAAACCCACACAAACGTTTTGTACCCTACCCAAGAGTGTGTGTGTGTGCCTGCACGCGCATTTAAGCATGTGTGTGTACGTACAATCGTGCTTGCGCACGCACATGTAAGCACATTCATGCATGCTAAACACATGTATGCACACGCACAGTGCACACTCATGATTACGCACACACATGCACGCAAACTTATATGCATGCGTTCACATGCGATTGTCCGTACATACACGCACGTGCGCAGTGCATGCAATACATTGGCCGCAAATATGCTGATGACCATTGTTTCGTGCACATGTGACTTCAAAAGTGTCGAATTTAAAAAAAAATTAAATATAAATTTAAAGTGTTTGATATTTATATTGTTGTTGGGATAAACATTAATAAGCAAAACGTAAAAATATCGAAACAGTAAAATCTTTTTTAAACTATCAAACAAATAAATAAAAATAATCTCGTTGAGAAGTGAGGCTGAAATGAAAGTTGTTAGCAAAAACATTCGCTGAAACTGAAACCGATCGCAAACAATTAGTGCTGCTTATGAAATTCTGAAACGTAAAGGCAAGTTACCAGGCGTGTGTTCATATTCGTGTATATGTGTGTGTATATACGTATGCATGTATGTGTGTGTGAGCGTGCATGCATATTCTTTTATATATGTAGACTGTGCAGTGTGCATGTAAGTACACGTGTGTGTACTGTATTTGAGTATTCCTTTGGGTACTACGTATGCATACAACGCGGTTTTTGCAGGAAGACATAAACACAACTTTGGATAAATAATGTTAGATAATATTGTGAGAATTAATTTAAAAACAATGCCGTGGTGTGGTGTGGTGTGGACATTCCTTTCACCGTTCACACGTTGTTGTGGCTATCTTCTTTCCTGTTGTCCCTTTTTAATTCCGTTACATTTAGGGTTGCTCTTTTTTCATCATTGATCGTCATTAGTTAGTTTGTTAGTTTGTTTGTCTGTCTGTCTGTCTGTCAGTCTGTTTGTTTTGTTTGTCTGTTTGTTTGTTTGTCTGTCTGCATGGTTGTTTGATTGTTTGTTTATTTATTTTCCAAACTTTTGGAACAAAGCTATTCAGTAATGTAAATAGATGGCACACAAATTTTGTACAGCGCCATTGACCCATTGGATAGAATGATCGTCGTTTATAAACAAAACTTGACGCTAACTTTTTTTTCAAATCTTTGGGGCGTTGATGATGATTAGATGCTTAATAAAACTTGTTTTGCTCAATTTTGACTATTTTAAATTTATATTGTCAAATATTCAAAGAAAATTCAGTTTTAAATTATTAAACTGGTGGGTGCAAATAATTTTTCTTTTTCTTTTTAAAATGCAACTTTGACAATTGCACAGATGGTGATGATGATGATGATTCATTGATAGTGTTGACGGGGATAATGATGACGTTAAAAATGGCAGTTATGATGATAATAACGACATAAAAATATAATGATGATGATGAATAAAAGATAATGAATGTCATCCCACTTTAAGGTCGAAGAAATTGTGAGTAACTTTGGTTTGGTGGTGATAACCCGCATGGGCTTCAACCCCCAACACTCCATATACGACTCGGACGTTCTATCCAAATATAAGGTTAGATAATTAAGATTTTCAATATTTTTAATAAACCGGTACAAATCTACACACATACAAATACAACAACAAACAATTAAATGTACACAACATAATACACACACGCATGCACACATATACACACCTATATATATTTAGGGTTTAGACTATCGGATATACAGTTGTTTAGGAAAGTCACAGCATTTTCAGCGTTGTTTAATTTTCTATTTAATTTTCAATCTTTCTTACGATGAATTTCAGTTGATTATTAAATTTATTTAACTCTTACACAAAATTAGTATGCATGTTTGAAACAGAAAAGCTATTTTCGGAAATTCTATTTCCATTATCAATGTTAATTTTTGTATTGTTTATGTCCTTATATAGGTTGTTGTTACATTATTCTTATGTTAATGTTAATAAAAATTTTTACGAGTTCTTCGTATCCCTTTGTGTGAATAAAATTTTTTATCTGATAGTGTGATAGTATGAATCCTTTATATATATATATATATATATATATATATATATATATATAATATAATATAATAAAAGAAATAAAATAAAAGCAAAGTCTATAATGATGATGATGGCATTTTGCTGGTAGTACCTGATGTCAATCTGCAGATAGCATCAAGAGATTTTGCAGTATCTGGACCAATGGTTTGGAACAGCTTACCGAGATCTTTTAGAACTAAAGATTTGAAACTTGATGATTTTAAAAAGAAACTTAAAACTTACTTATTTTCGCTTTGATTTTGTTGTTAAGTGAATAATTATTTGTTTGTTACTACCGCCATTGACAGTACTTTTTTCTTTTTTGACTTTGTTTGATTATAGATAGCGCTTTTGAGAACTTTTTGATTTTAATTAGCGCTTATAAATGTTTCATTAATTATATATATATATATATATATATATATATATATATAATATGTTTGTGAATATATATTTATTTATATATATATATATGAGTAAATTTAGGCAAGATATTTTCTTTTATACATATTTTGTGAAATTCGGTCAAAGTTATCATATTGTTAAGTTTCTTTTTAACATTTTTTACCAGTTTTTATTACGTTATCAAGGTAATGTTCAATTGAAGTTGTTATTTAAATATTTGTGGTTTGAAACAAAGTGGATGTGAGTACAAAAGGAATGTGTCCGGTCATTTTGTTATAATTTGTTGATGGTTTGAAAATTATTTTGCTATTTCAGTGGTCTCTTATTGTTATGGTTTTTTATTTTCCTAGTTAGTGATGTTGCCAATCAGTAGTTCAATTTCGACTCTGTTTTGTAACTTCTTAGTTTTTCTATAAAAATGACAGTTTAGGCTCATTCATCTTCTGTCAGGGGTGATCAGTCAAGTTTATAAAGTTGTCTCTTGCCTTAGGAAACATCAATTGTCCTTTGCCTTCACATTCCTACATATAATTTAAAATATATACGAATATAAGTATAAAATAAAAATTTTGAACGTTGAAAGTATAAACCAGTTAGTCGGTTATTCATTTATATATTTGTTTGTGCATTGATTGATTGATTGATTGATTGATTAATTAATTCATTCATTCATTCATCCATTCATTCATTTATTCATCCATGCAATTTAAACAAGAGGTTTAAGAAAGCGCACGAACGTAAGATAAAAGAAGAGTTTCAAACGAGCTAATTGTAAGTTCAAATTATGCGTGCAGGCAATTCAAGTCATCAGCAAGAAACTCTTTTTGTATTAACAAATTAATTTCGGGGAAGTAGTCCTCATGTTTGAATGTTCATGTGCAGATTGTTAGGAAATCACACGTAAATTACAATTTTCTGATTTGTAAAACTTGTTATCAAATCTTGTCTGCGTAATATTACCAAGTTTTGAATTTATCTGAGTAAAAGTATTAATGTAATCTAATATGATACTATCGTGTCTTTTTCTATTATTACTGTTTTTGTAGTTGCTGCTAGTGATGTTGTTGTGCTATTGTAGTTGTAATCGCTCGCTGATCGCCCGATCATTCTTTTCCTAGTCTCACCAGAATTTCCGCCATCATCTTTACAGCCTCCATCTGGCGCTCATTCAATTCACCCAGCTGTGCACTAAGACCATACCTGTCTTATCTCCTGCTTGTTCCGACATTCCGTCTTTTGGTGTTGAGCCGATTCTTCTGCTTCACCGCACAATCTGCATTAGTTTTCATTTATTATGCCAATGCGTGCTCTATAGCCCTAAAGATTCAAATGGAGACCAGTTCTAAAACGGCTGAGGTCCGTTCTTGATTGCTTGTCGATGTCGAGTTCCTCCTCATAGATGTTAATGGCTTTTGTATACACTTTTTTACATCTATCGTGTTGTATATCCTTTTCTAGTATCAACTGATTTATTAACAACTGTGTATTTAATCTGTTGGATTTTGGGAGAAACCTGTCTTCTCTTGCCGCCACGTCTACTTTTTTGTTTGCCTCAACTCCACAATGTCCTGATATCCAAACTACTGTCACACTTTTATTACGTGCTTCAAGACTGTTTATCTTCTCCAATATTTGAATGCTATCTGGGTTCTTGTTGTTAAAGCTCCCAAGCATGTATATGATGGGTAAGCTGTTAATATTGCTGCAGTCTCCCATTCTTCATATCTTTGGAGCCATTCTGTACTGATTTCTATCGTTTTCCTTTCTGTTTCATGGCTGCTACACCAGCATCCGGCATGTATTGTGGTTTTACTGATTATGTCTGACCCCTTGTAAGCAATCACTGCTGCTCCTCCTTCTTTTGGGGCTGGGTCTACTGAACCATCTGTGTATATTACGACATCATATTTTTCCACCTCCAATATTACCTCATTAATTGCTTGCCTTTTCTTTTCCGGTTTTATTCCGATTTTGACAATATGGTCCTGATGGGCTTGAGTTTCCATTTTATAGTACTTATAGCACTATCTTTTGGTTTATGTACATTGTTCACCCGCTCAGACACTGGTTTGTAGCATGTTTGTGCCAATCTTTTTTTTTTGTTGCGACATGTAACTTTTATTGCTGTTTTCCTCCTGCTATTTTCTGCCGCAACGTGAACCATGTGATGGCTTTTTTGCCCAAATCTTGTCCAGTCTAGTTTTCAAGGTTTAAGTGAAAAAAGCCATCACATGGTTCGCGTTGCCGGAAAAAGATATCAGGAGGAAAACAGCAAATAAAGAAGATACTTTTTGCATCAAAAAAAGGATTAGCGCGCAGCATGCTACAAACCAGTGTCTGAGCGGGTGAACAATGTACAAAAACCAAAGAATATTACTACAAGTACTATAAAATAGAAACTCAAGACCATCTGTTGTTGTTGTTGTCGTTGTTGCTATTATTATTGTTGTTGTTGCTGCTGCTGTTGTTGCTGCTGCTGCTGTTGCTGTTGCTGTTTCTGTTGTTGTTGCTGCTGCTGCTGCTGTTGTGGTTAAAATTTATATAACGCCAATTATTATTAAAAATTTTCATCAGCCCTCCCTGTTCAAAAATATATTTTATAACAATGAGTTAAGCAAATAAATGTTCAAATGACTTTTAAATTTTAAGAGCGCTGATCCAGATTGACAAAATTCATCTGACAGTCTATTCCAAAAAATTGGTCCTGAAACAGAAAATGTTCTACAACCAATTTTCAAATTTGTTTTCGGTACATATTATTCATTTGAGTTGGAAGACTTCACTTGCCCGTGTTTCCCAGGGTGGAATTTTCCATGGTGGAACTAGGAGCCAAACCGTTTAGGCATTTAAACATCATTACCCTCAATTTGAGCAGGATTCTTTGCTTTATAGACGGCCAATGCAACTCCCATGATATTGGAGAGTTGCTGATTTTAATTTACACTTTGCTTTATAAGCAGCCGAATTGACAGCGAGTTGTTTGGCTTCTTGTTCGAATAGTTTTCTGCTTTTATGATTATAACCTAAAATTTATGGTTAAAACGTTTACTAACTTGATACTATCCAACTTGTCAAAATAAAATCACAAAAAACACAAAAGTTTATCATCAACAACCAATTATATATTTTAACAGTTGTTTTTGTAACTATGATGACAATAAATGAATGTATTGTTATAACCGTGCTACCGAACGCACTAGATTCTAGCGTATTCTAGAATGTTCTAGTGACTGGAGCATTCTAGAGTATGCTAGAATCCGACCATCTGGAAGAATCTAGAAACGACGCTTGCGAAGAGTATATAAGCGCACGTCGCAAGAAATTCGTGATTAGTGAAATTCGTGATTTTGTAAATTCGTGACTCTGTGATTTTGTGAATAGCGATTCGGTGAATTATTTAAAGCGATATTTGATTTGTTTTGTTGACGTTGTCATAGCGATAGATTTTGAACAATTTAAAAGTTAATTGTTGCGTTAATTTGAATTTGCTAGAAATAAACGATTAGTTGATTTCTTCTGTAAATAAAGTTTAATAACTAATAACTGTTTGGAGTATTTTATTCGATCGAAGATTTGAACCCGTCGCATCGTAAATCGGTTACGACAGCGAGTATTATAACATTGGTGTCAGAATTGGGATCTTCGACTAGCGAATTACTACTCATAGAAAAAGAACACGATGTCAAAACTGTGTGGTTTGAACGTAGTTCAGCTACGAGAAGAACTACAGAAACGAAGCCTTGTCACAAGTGGCAACAAAGAAGTACTAGTAGCACGTCTGAGAGAAACTCTCATTGACGAAGGTAAGAACCCAGACGAATTCAAGTTTGATGGTGCTGAGGAAGACAATGAAATTAGCACAGGCACGTTTACAACCGCTAAAATGATGGAATTTCTGCTTAGTATGTCAACTGAAATAAAACAACAGATCAAAGAACAGTCCGAACAACAGTCCGAACGACAGACAAAAGAGTTAAAACAACAGATCAAGGAACAGTCCGAACGACAGACAGAGGAGTTAAAACAGATCAAAAAACAGTCCGAACGACAGTCCGAACGACAGACTGAAGAGTTAAAACAACAGATCAAGGAACAGTCCGAACGACAGACAGAGGAGT